CACCCAAAGACAGCTGAACCCCCGCAACGCATAAACATTGTACTTGTACCTATGTAGAACCACGAGACCAAGCATTTTATTGGCTTCGTTTCTTTTTGTTGCGGCGGGGAGGGACGGGGACGCCACCTCGAAGAGGCGCAGGGCCGCCTCTCAGAGAGGAGGGATTTCAGGTGGGCCCGACACTTACACTTGGGGATGTTTGCATGTGATTCAGGGCTTGCGGGGCTTAGAGCTTGGATGTACTAGGTGGTCGGAATAAATAAGTGCTCCACGAAAGGGCATTATTAGTAGCAATTATGACAAGAGGAGAACACCTGTCCCATTCAAGGATCCTAGTCGTCACACCTTCATATCTAACAACACCCTCACACACCCAAGGTATACAAAGGTTGAAAAGAGACAGTTGGGATCTTTTCCCAATTGTGAGAACCTCCTCTGATCCCGTGCAGTCTTCACAAGGAAAGCCGCGGTAGTACCAACACAAACTGAAAGAACAGCATGTCTGCGCTCGTTTAGGTTTATAGATTCTAGGTCTTGGGGGTCCGTGCTTCCGTGTCGCGAGCTCGATCTGACACTTGACAAATTTCCAAGCTGCGAGCCCCTGAAACCTTCGCAGCCAAGTGCCTCCGGCCTCCCAGTCGCCCGCCTGCTCGCAGCTCCCGAGGACTGTTCGGAAACCTCGCTGGAGTACGGGCTTGTGGTCTAGGGTCCCGTAAGATTTTCGTCTAGAACTTCGGATGCGTAGGATATGTTGTGCTTGAAAAGACGGATTTGGCTCTGGTTAGCAGTCTGGGTATCGGAGCTTCCGAGCCAGGGGCCATGATCCGGCGATGATGTCGTCAGCAATATCCGCAGCGCGGAGCCGTACCCTAACTCCAACCTATGAAAACCAAACCCCATGCCCATGCCCAACTCCTTCCCCAGGTCTTGTATTTTGGACACCAAAACCCCGAACGTTAGCTGTTAGCAAAGGGGCTGATGATGTCAGGAGCCAACTCCTGGGAGAAGAGTGGTGCAATGGGAGTTCACGAGACATCCTGACTTTTCAACCGTTTCAGCTTTCCAAGCGCCCCGAAAAGCTTTGTCGAAACCTAGGGGCTCCTTACTTCCATATGAACCGATCCATGCGCTGCCACGGCTAGACGGGGCCTTGGTTTGTCGTCCTTGGTGCTTTTCGGCTTCGGGCATAGCGCATACCCAAACCCGACACGCCTTTGGGGCCCTGTACTACGGCCTGTGAAACAACCAAAAGCCCTAAAGAAGAGTACCGAGACACCCAGGACTGCATGGACACCAGCCTCGGCTAGCGTCTAATTCTGGTGATCTTAAGTTGAGCTGCAAGAAGCTTTGCGGGTTTTGGGGAGTCGGGGGCTTCTGTGATCGAGCGGCGCCTAGACGACATCGCAAATCCTGAAACTGCTCCTGCAAAACAACATCCTGGAGCTCAGAAGCAGTCGCTGGGCCGCTTCCCGGTTCGTACTGCAACAGCCGAGGGCGAGGTTGAAGCAGAGATGGTTCGGGAGACTCCTCAGCGTGATCAGGTTTAGATTGGGGGATGTTTGGCGTGTTGCGTTCGGATTTCAACTTCTGGTGTATCGTAAAGGACCGTATTTATGCTTGCTGGAACTTCAGAAGGCAAAGCTGGATTCGAACTTCGAACATGTGAACGCAACGCCAAGCACTGGGCTGCTTCCGGCAAACCGCGATGAACCCACTGACCCAAGAGAGGCTTCGAACTCGAAGAAACTGTAGTGCTCGACAAAAGTTCTAGCTCCCACAACTACAACGACGAGGTATTTGGATATTTCCGTGTGGAACTTGTTGAAAATGTACTCTAAGTCACTCTCAGTGTCACTGTTGCTGTTGCGCTCGCCCCCGACCCCACACCAACGAATCCTGCGCCGCCGTTTGCACTTGACGTTCCGTTACACCGCCTGGCTGAGCTGGAGAATACATGTCAAATCCAACAAAACGAACAACACAGGAGTTTGCATCGTGATTATCTACGTGAACATCCAGAGAAGCCTACAAATTTACCATCCCATCGACATACCTGCCAAAGTTGTTGGTAAAAACCCTTGGAGAAGTTGTATCACGGTGCCAACAAAATGAAAACACTTCGAGTTGCTGCAATATAACCTTTTTGCTCCCTCAGCCTTGGGGCGTTGCGATTGTGTGGTTAGTGGCAACATGGAAACGGGTTGTCAACCCGGAGCACGAGCTTCGTTCAGAAACTGCACTCGAATTTCGTGACGGACTCCGTATTCACATCCTGTGGTTGTCGTCCAGCTCAAACAATACCCGGTGGACGGCCAGCAAGTGCGAAACGAGATCACTGGGAAGGGAATTGGTTACACCGCACGGCCCCCTTGCTGGCAGTATCCGAGACACCGCGCCAAGTGAGTACAGGGATGTGGTAAGAAGTGCAGGCATGGTTTTAATTTCTGCCCGATGTGGAATTGCATGCCGAAGTCTTACTGAGCAAACAACTGCGCGACAAACTCGGTTGCTGGTCTGACCCCGAACAATCAACCTGAGATCGTGAACAAACTGAACCAAGCTTTGCGCAATGGAGTCTTCGGGTTGCACGGCACATGGACAGTTGAGCTGCCGAGAGTGGCCCATGAAGGCCAACATGTGCACCGCCAACGGCCACTGCCCCTGCTTCCTGCATCCGGCTAGATGGAATTCATGGCTGAGCGCTTGTGAGGAACACCGAAACGAAATCGCATAAAGGGTATGTGCAGCATGCACCTGACAGGGCGGATTCCTTGAAGACCTGTGTAGGTCAGGGCTTGGGGAATTTAGGTTCAGTAGTTTATTTTGCCTTCGGCATTCTCTTGCATGTTGAGCGTTTCAGATGCAAAATACGAAGCTGTTCACCGAAACATGAGGGAAGCAAAGCCTGCACCACCCTTTCAAGGGAGGCAGTTCAATCGGATCCGATAGGCGAAGGCGTCTGATTTCGGAAAGTCCCCTCTTCAACCCTCTTTGGTGGGGTTGGGGCGGACAGTCTGCCTGAAGACCTCTAACTGCCAGGATTTTTGCGGCGTGGGTCGAGAGCTCGGGAGGGTGGTAGCAAGTTGCAGCTGCCGACACGCCCAAGCAAAACTTTTCTGCAACAGAAAGCATGCCTTGGGCGACCCTAAGATGCCCGGGTGCAGTTTGCAGAGTCCTATGTGAATAATAGACCGCTATGCTGCGTAATGCAGGGGCGGTTAAGACATCGCAGATGCTTGTTAGAGATACATACATACATACACATACACATGCACCTGCACATGCACATATACACATACACTTTCTGTATACAGGGATCCAAATAACATGCGGAATTGGAACGGGAGCTTTGTTGGCCAGGGTCCTAAATTATCTGCAGAGAACTCTGGCTTCCCTCCTGCAAGCGCCGATCGCCGCCTTAGGGGCTCACGGAGGCTTGCTGTTCTCAGGGACGGTTGTCTTAGGATCGGATGAAACCTCTATCGCTCCAGGGTCTGGGCATGCGAGAAGGTCAGCGATGGCATGAAGTTTTTGAAGTTGTCCATGGTACAATCTGCTCCAACTTGCGTTGCCATAGCCACGGATCGGCGTGGCTTCTTGAGAAAGAGCACTCGCTCAGAGCTTGTTGCAACTTCCGGGCCTGTTCAAGTTCCCTGCTACAGTGTGCTGCGATTGTGAAAAAGCACTTGCCACGACGGGAGTCCGAACACTCTCCTTGTACTTACAACACGACTCGAGCCCCTGCTAAAACCTCTGGCCCCGCTTCGAAAGCCCAGCAATGACTCGTTTCAGCTCGAAGGTCCCTTTGTAGGCGGTACGGTTGTCAGCAATGCATGGTTGCCACGCTAGACATCACGGAATAGGACTTCAAAGGATACCGCCCAGTGCTACTGCCATGGAGCCCCAAGCCTCGACAACACAAACAATCAAGACACCTGAAAGTCCAAAGACCATTTAACCCTCACCCCAAACCCTGAAGGCTGAAAAATCCTGAGCCGGCCGGCCGAACAGTGATGAGCGCCGGGGGTGATGCCGCCACTGGCCATGGCCTGCAAAACCTCGGCAAGACCGCATGCGGGACTAAGATTTCAGGCGTTGGGCTTGGCTTTGAGCCAGGATTGAGTCTTGGTTGACGCCAGAAGCTTCTTTGGGTTTCTCGGGTTTACATGCGGAATGCTACACAAGGGTGCGCCGGCCTAAGTCGAGCTTCTGAACCAGAACTCTGGACTGCACTGGGTCACGGATCCGTTTGGAGAGCCTCTTTAAGGCTTAAGGATTGTGGGCTGAAGCGGGCCAGGCTGAGGGGGAAGCTTTGAGATGTAGAAGCCTCGTATGAAGTTGCTCGTGATGTGGGCTGGGGATTTGGCAAACCGTTCCGGTGTTTTTTTACTAAATGTGTCTTTCGTTTGTGGTCAAGTTCCTTCCAGGTCGCACTTGCAGCCCGGAGCCCTCAGATAGTTCAGACCCCACGGCCCAACCCAAATTGTCCACACATTGCTCATGCGTCAAGAACCTGCGCACAGCCCGGAGCGTGAACCTTGCACCCTCGATCCTTCCGGATTCCCACTCTTGGCTCACTCAGCACGCTCCCCGATGCCCTAAGCCCTAAGCCGCCTAGGCCCTTGAACTCTACGCCCCGAACTCGAAAAGAACCCCCGCCCTGGCCCGGCCGCCCGGCCTTCCATGAAGTCCAGACTCGGCCCTCTGAGGCCAAGGACGTGAGGGCCTGGAGCTCGACCAATTCGGATGAGGGCTTGGCTTAAACCAACATACTCGGGACGATAGGAGAATATAGTAGATTGCAATGCAGCACAGTATGACGTTAAGACAAAATGGAATAAGATAAACACGGATGAGATAAGCTATAGAAAATATATAAGCTAAGAGAAGCAAAGATAAGATGCTTGTAACAGGGCTCTGAGACTCTGAAGATACTAGGGCTTAGATGTGCGTGTGTGTGTGTGTAGGCCCAAACAGTCGTGAGCAGTGGTTGAAACTGTTCACTTGGTTTCTTTGGTGTTGGGGAATGCTGAGGTGGAGGCTCGTTGCACTGGCCCCCGAACAAGCGAGGCCCACTCCTCTGTGCGCCCTGGAAGCCGCGCCTTCGTTAAGATTCTCGGGGCCACATCGGCATCCCGCTGCAGAACCGGGGCGATGACCTGAGCGAATGAATCGGGTTTAGGAAAAGGCACCGCAGGTGGTATATTCGGCCCACAGCCCGACTAAACTCGGAGCATTGTTGTGCGCCCCACGACCTCAATCACTGAAGAACAGCTGTATTGAGACTGCGCGAGATGCCACCGCAACTGCCAGATGCTCAGGAACAGGTAGTTTAGTATTGCGCAAAGCCGCGCAATACTAATCCTAACCGGAGCAGATGGGGGAGGCCTTTCCGGATTGAACCGCGCCGTTACGACTCACCCAAAACACAGTCGGTATGCCCCAAGGAACCACTGCGACGGAGATGGGTTCTATCATGTGCGGCTGCTGTGCATAACACTGGTAGAAATTCATAACAATCCGGTCTTTTCCATTGCAACCGCGCTTCCAGAACGGACGTGTGATACTTTCATGTCTTGTCTGCGGTAATTTGGCTCAACATCGGCTAGATTCTCGGCCCGGTATGTCGTTTATGCGGTTGGAATCGCGTCGGCAGTGTAGGGCCAAAGGTTCGTGGTTTAGTACTCTAGTTATCGGCGCTCACACTCGGACAAGCCAGGCGAGGTTACTGGTTCGTAGTTGCATAAGGTGAAACGCTTCCAAGAATGTGCCGACCAACGCACACCAGTCACACAAGCCAATAGCCAGAATTCGTCGGACATCGTTGAAAAAGATACTTCAGGGGAGCTTCGAGCGTTTTACGTTTAGGGTTGCCGAGTTTCGTGGCTTGGAGCTTTCGAGCTTTATAATATACACGGGCTCGAGCGATGCCCCAAGCGAATCTGAGCCATGCCCCGAATCGCTGTTTACAACCGGTCACCATATCCCCTCTGAAACACTACTACGACGACCACTACTACTACTGCTGCTGCTACTACTACTACTACTGCTACCACTACTACTACTACTAGTGCTACCACCACCACCACCACCACCACTACCACTACCGCCACTACTCTTTGCTACGACGCCTTTGTACCAGGCCCGGTGACTGAAACTGCAGAACAAAGCAGATCACACGCTCATACGAACGGCCTCCTAAAAACCGCACGCCGTTACGACTTCTGCTTGCAGCTTCCCCCCCAGTGCGAGAAGGCGCGAATGCCGTCAACCCACCCGAGTCTTGAACGCTAACTCGCCTCCCCCTTAAAGACCCTCGACCTTCCATAACTCAAAGCAACCAAGAACGAGACAAACACCCTCATACAACCGTGACGGCTTTCTGTACTACTGGGGAAGTCTATTCTCTAAGAACCGCAACCATAAAAGAAGTCGACCGGGGGAGTGCATCCGACGCTGACCTCCAGGACGGACTCCCAGCGGCCTTCTCGGCCGAGCGCCCGCAGGGCCACCTGCGACGGGCGGATGTCCCGCACGAGGGTTCAAGGGTTGCAGGGGCTTTCGGGTGAAGCTCTGGGCGTCTGCAGCCTTGAGTGTGAAGCTGAGAAGCTTGAATAATGATGAGGGCACCCGACTGGACCTAGCTTTGGCAGCATCAGAAACAAAGCATGTCTTGCTAGAGCACCGTGATACCAAAAACCAGTGGAAAGAACGACGGAGTCACAACAGGAAATGCAATCCGCATTGCAGACAGAATGGTCGCTGAAAGAAGCGATGAACTAACCTTGCAGAATGACGCTGGTAGCCGCAGGACTGAGAGACTGGTGTACTAATACCGCCGCTTGAACAAACTCCTACTAGGAGCAAAACATTAATGTGCTTCGGGCGGGGCTGAATACTGCAGGAGTTCTTTGCGCATCTCGACTTTCAACAGATCCGTTGCAACACCACATCACGGCTCCTCTTCGCCCCTCCAGTACCAAGCATCCTAAGCCCGAAAACGACCGCTACCCGGAGCGATGAGTTCTGAGCACCCAACACCCAATAAAGCAACATATGTAGACAGCCTAATGCTGTCAACACGTGACAACCCCAAACCTTGAAGCATAAAGCCTAAACGCCTTGGTGCTTTGCGTCCTTGTGTCCTAAGCATTTGTTATGCTGGACCGACTCTGACGGCCTCGGGGCGCAGGGCCATCCACGTGCAAGCCGCACGGAAGCCCGTCAGGCTCGAGCATGGCGACTACCGAAGCGTAAGAAGATGTGAGAAGATTCCGGGTCGGCATTCGTCGGCTCCAGGGGCTGGCGCTGTTCCGTCGTGGCGTCGCCACGAGTCTCTTCACTGAAATACAAGGCAGCCAGCTGGAGCGAGATTCAGGGTGCTTTGCCATGTGCTTTCAAAGGCCTTTACGTCTGCCTACGATTCCGATGGACAAATGGTCCTCAAATGGTTTTTGATGTGCAACTCTCAAATTCTGCGCCGTCCACGTGAAGCCGCAAACTTGTAGGAGCACAGGGTCTGAGCAAGAATGGCTGCAGGCTACAGCAGCAATCATAACTACAAAACCGGTGAGCATTAGAGAGTGTGAAACACATGCGAACTGGCATGACGCGGAAAGAAGCACAGAAGAAAGATGTAGTAACCGCAATGGAAACAGCATACGAACTTCAGCAAATACAGAGTTTGGGTTTTCTGGTCTAGGGGCGTAAGCTCTGAGAATCGGACGTTGCGAAACAAGCAAGCAAGTCGCCTTTTACGTGTTGCGGGACTTCGGTAGGGAGAGAAACATGTGTTGAACTCATCCAGCCTAAATATTTGGCTTTCCCAGGTCTGTGGGCGCAAGTGGCTGCGATTCGAAAATTCTGTCTTTACCTGATCACATGGTTGTACAAGTTTGCAAACCACGGTTCCAACGTCCAAGGTTTTATGTAGGGGTCCAGTTGCAAGAAGAACCAGAAAACCATGCTAGACAAGCACATGTGACCGAGGAATACACGCTGCAGCTGCACTGCAGGATTAAAGCTCAAGGACGATGGAGACACGAACCCTAATACTGCAGCGGCATCATGGCCCTCCAACCCATCTCCCTGAAAAGCCGCTGTGAGGTTGAAAACATTAAGCTCCAGCGAAACTCCAGGCAACACGATAGCAAAAGCGGAGGGAATCGCACCTCATTGTTGAAATGGAATAAAGCTTGTCTTGGAACCTGTGGGAAGTGGAAACTCTGCTTTGCGGGGGCCCGAGGTGGACAGGAAGGTCAAACCGCGACGGCCGCGAGGTGTTCCGGTTTACGAGGAGACCAGTGGTATCGTTTCAAACGCTCCTCGGGCTTGAAGCTGTTGGGCCTTCAAAAACTACACAAAGCCCCTCAAAGTGTCTTCATTGCAAAAACTGGGGGCCTGCATGTTTCGGGATTCTAGTCTGGAAAGTGGTCACCGTATAATGTCAGGAACCGCTGGTTAATGAAGGAGAAAATGTGGATCTTTCTACCCTGCACCCCTGTCCATGACTAGGAATCTCGGATGGATGTCCTAGTTTCTATAGATCCTATGGCCCATAGGACGCGCTGGCCGGCTTGATCATTCAGATCATGACAGCCGACGATGTCCAAAGAGCCCTGCCGTTCAGTGGCCCCTCGCCTTCGCACGGCGCTATGGCAACGTGACGTAAATGTGGCCTAACACTGTGAGTAGTATAGCTTTCTATCAAAGGTTCCCTCATAATTCAACAATGGAAAGAACGCCCCAACAAGTTTGTACGACCACACTGCAAAACATCAACCTTGCTTCACCGCTGCTCAAGTTGTCCCACAGCACCTCTAGTTTCCATGGTTGAAGCAAAAGGTTAGCTTTATGGCTTGCGGTTATTTGCAAGCCGAGAAATGCCGCAATGGAGGAGCCAAACCTTCGAACCTGTCTACACCAAACCATTAAGGTTCGCGCCGTCTGCCGGGGCAAATCCACGGCTCTAGTCTAGAATCGGTATCCTTAACATGTCCGTTCGTTCCAAAGCCCCGCTGAGCCCCTTGAGCACCCAAACCCACACAAGCCGGCAAAAAGGAGGTAAAGCCTTGAGTACTAACGCGGGCGGGTAAGAAACTCCATGCGCAGATCGATACTTGGGGATCTTGGGATTCGAAGCTCAGGTATAACCGGATGAGGCTCGCGCTGTAGCATCCTTCTGCACCTGGTCTTTTCGACAAGGGGACGAGAGGGACGTGAAAGCTAAGGCCGTTGCTTGTATTCACCGCTTTTGCGTCTACTTTGAGAGCCCGGTAAAGTCCATGAACCTGGTAACGTGCCACCTGCAGGTGGTTGAGTTTGGAGACAGTGGCCCCACTTTTACAAGGTCTCAAACAGGTGATGCCCTACTTCCACGCCTGAAGAGAGTCCGGCATGATTATCAGAATCAGCGAGGACAGCAAAGAGAACACAAGCAAAGATAATGGGTAATTGACAATGATTGCCGCCGCTTCTGACACAAAGGACCACCATCGTCACAATCAGAACCAATCTACAGATTCCGATCACCAAAACAAGTCACACTATGAACACTGCTAAACCATGGCTGACATTACCACCACCCATCCCCTGCACCACCATCATCACCACGGCCATCATGATGACCTGCCTTCTTGCCATCTGTTTCTTCAGCGACATTGTCAACATTGACCTCATCACATCCACACAACCCAACATGAATGTCAGCCTGCACCGTCAAAGTAACAGCAACGCCGCCTGAACATTGTCACGGAAACGCTGATCGCTTCTAAGGTCATCGCCAAACTCCTCCACTACCAACAACAAAGCCATGGACCACCACGCATAAAGACTACTGAAATTAACGACCTGGTTATCCACAACCCGAACAGGTACATCAGTGATGCTGCTACTGACGATTCATCATCTCTCCGCCAGCAGCAGCATCACAGCATCATCGCGATGATGGATGCGAGGGAGGGGTTGGCCGTGCGGCTACTGACGGCACTGGTAGTGAAGATGGTGGTCAGGCGTCTTAGGCAGTCTAGGAAGTCCACCAGCAGCCGCACGACATCCATGTGGCACCGCTGAATGGCCTCAGCAAGGCTCAGGTCAGGGCTCAAGCCAAGGTTTAGAGTTTAGAGGCGAAGGCTCAAGGATTGTGGCCTGTGTCCCTACGCCTATAATTCAGTCACCTAAAGGCATCATCTACACGGCTTCGGAGCTCTGTATCTGATTTCCAACAACCGCAAGAATTTCTGAATGTCACCTGGAATGTCCTAAGAACCCTTGCCGAGCCTTAACCTCAGCGCTGGGCAGAACCACAACATTGAACTCTTAAAGACTGTTAAAGAGGTCTTATGCGTTGAAATCGCCACAGTACACCCCGACTTCCAGAACCTGAAAGCCCGAATCCTCCCTCTAACTCGTAAACCCGCGTTACCGACCTCTGCAATCGATCCCGACTTGGATGAACCCTAGATTCCCTGGATGATAGGCTTCGTCTTGTCGCAAACAAAACGCCCTGGCTAGCCCCAGCAAACCCCACATGAGCATTCTTCTGCCGGCCGCCAAGTTTGCATGAGATCTTTATCGATACTGGCTGCTGACTAGCTCTGGGACTGAGGCATGAGGATGCGGGCCTTGCGCGAAACCACCTTATATAAAGGCTTGCACCAGATGAGCTGAAGTGCCCTAAACTCGACTGAAATGGGTCTCACCGTGCCCCCAATTTCGGGCCACCAAGACACATCGCGCAAAGGAGAGGAGTTGCCCTGGATCCAAAGCCGTGTAGTGTCCTTTGTGTCGCTTCAAAACTTGGGGTTCTTTGGGGCTGCAACTGCCCAAAGATAAGGCGTTGGAGGCTTTGGCTTATGCAGCTTTGCGTTTGGGGTTTTCGAGTTTTACTGTCTGATTGAAGAGTCTCGGGCTTGGTCTTCCAGCGATGCTTCACTGTGCGACGCCTGCACTGGCGTAGTTCTTAAGGGTCCAGGGCTTTCGACTCGCACTCTCGCCGAATCCAGGGCTTTAGTTTAAGGGTCCCGGGCTGAATCTGTTGCCTCCTGCATTTCGGGCTGGATGATCTTACGCTCTCACAACTCGGACACAGCCAGGCGAGGTTCTTAGGTGCGGAGTCGGTTGGATGATGTTAGGGATCGGGGTTTGGGGTGTTTGGGGCTTCAATGGTTTCTGTCCCTCACGTGAGCCCTTGCACCAGCAACCCGACCGATCCCCCACCCCCTAGACTTGGAATACTGCAAGGCTTGGAACTCGACACCAGCTGGGGATGGCACGTACTCCGCACCGGCCTCTATGAGTACCTGCGAGTGAATTCCGAAAGTCTTCCCATAAGAGAACAGAAACTGCCTGCGTGCACAGACTTTCCTTGACGCCAGAAGTTAACATGTCAGCACCGACAGCTCCCGAAGACACTAAAGGCTGCAAGTGAAAGGCGTGTGAAAACCACAAGCTCTGAGAGGTGTTACGAGTCTTGAGCTGAGCCCACTGGCGTCTTGTTTGCCCAGTGTCTGGGTCATTCTTAAGTGCGCCAGTGTGTTGATGCACACGAGATCTGCAACCTAACGCAGATTACAAAAGCCACAGCCCAAGACAATGACAACATGCAGGTTAACACTCAAAGTTAGTGTTGACACACAGGCTCTAGGGTCTGCGGGGTTAGGAAGTTTCAGCAGCACTGTCTCTGAAGACGCATGCCGAGCAGGAAAGATGGAAGGAGCTTAAGGTTTAGGAGGGTCAGGGTTGTGATTGGGAAATGATTTCACGACAGACGGCCCACAACCCGAAGCCGAGCAAGCTCGACTCTAAACCCAGAGAAGCCTAGCATATTCTCCCTTACCAAGGTTCCAATCACCCGACACCACAACCAGAAGCTCATGTCAAGCTGATTTGTAAGCTTGCAACTCAGTCCCAAATCATTTGCTTAGGTTGAGGGTACTGGTAACCCCTGACTGAGCCCTGGCTCTGCAAAGGAGACAACCCAGGCTGTAACAGCCGTCAGCTGTACTGTGTGGCGTTTAAGCATGGGTAAGGGTTCTATCGTTCAACTGTTGTGTTTTGTTGCTAAACACCAAGCACATGCGTCCGTGACGGAAACACTGATATTCCCAGGAAGCGAAATGCAACGCACGGAAACAACAAATCTGGAACTGCCCAATTCTGCTCCCCAAAACAGACCCCTCTGCAAACCCTGAACCCAGG